AAGGATCAAAATTATGAATCAGCCAAAATCCACGACAAACCAACAGAAATCATACAAGTTCTAGAACGATGATAAATACGTTATGGAAAAGGGTTTTGGTTGTGAAATTAGTTGAAATGCTCGGAATAAGCACCATGGAGGATTTTCATATAAACTGTCCTGGTACAATTGATGAAGTTGAGTTTGCGTCACACATGTTTCTTTACTTATCGAGAGAGTACCAAATGAAATGATGAGTCATAACACTCGTTTTGAATTTATTATTCATGCATCATGATCATCGCCCTCTATTATTCACTAACACATGAGGACTTTAAATGCATCAAATGTTTTGTACTAGAACATAGCCTGTCAAGCCAGATTGTGTGTATGTGAACGTTGTTTCTTAATTTGGTGAATGCCCTCCCCCTTCGCTAACTGTCTTCACTTCAAGGTTTGTAAGTTTACTAAATGTCTGCCTTTAAGAATTGATGGCCGTATTGTGACGTATTACGCTTATGTACGCATTTTCATAGTTTCCATAGCCAGATTCAATGGAACCGTATAATCTCAGCATTCCATCTGAAGATTCAGATGAATACGAAGATGATGGTCCTGCTGATTTTCGATGAGGAATTTCTAAGAATATGCCGGTCCTGCTCAGTGGAAACGCTCATATTACTACTGGAAGAAATCCGGCGTCTTTATCCTTTTCTACCACCTACCCGGTGGACATCAAGAAGGGAATATACTTGATGAAAAGATGGAAGATCCCGGCCCCTGGACAAGGTAATTTGGAAATGTTCCCTTAAACTAGTTTAATCTAAGAATGTGGCATATTTTCCGTGCTTTTAGGCCGCTGTGGGCTTTTCCTAAAGGAGGAAAAGATGCAATTTTCTTCCTCGTTAAGAAAATTAGATTTTTCTTAACGGGGAGAAAATTGCATCTTTTCCTCCTTTAGGAAAAGCCCACAGCGGCCTAAAAGCACGGAAAATATGCCACATTCTTAGATTAAACTAGTTTAAGGGAACATTTCCAAATTACCTTGTCCAGGGGCCGGGATCTTCCATCTTTTCATCAAGTATATTCCCTTCTTGATGTCCACCGGGTAGGTGGTAGAAAAGGATAAAGACGCCGGATTTCTTCCAGTAGTAATATGAGCGTTTCCACTGAGCAGGACCGGCATATTCTTAGAAATTCCTCATCGAAAATCAGCAGGACCATCATCTTCGTATTCATCTGAATCTTCAGATGGAATGCTGAGATTATACGGTTCCATTGAATCTGGCTATGGAAACTATGAAAATGCGTACATAAGCGTAATACGTCACAATACGGCCATCAATTCTTAAAGGCAGACATTTAGTAAACTTACAAACCTTGAAGTGAAGACAGTTAGCGAAGGGGGAGGGCATTCACCAAATTAAGAAACAACGTTCACATACACACAATCTGGCTTGACAGGCTATGTTCTAGTACAAAACATTTGATGCATTTAAAGTCCTCATGTGTTAGTGAATAATAGAGGGCGATGATCATGATGCATGAATAATAAATTCAAAACGAGTGTTATGACTCATCATTTCATTTGGTACTCTCTCGATAAGTAAAGAAACATGTGTGACGCAAACTCAACTTCATCAATTGTACCAGGACAGTTTATATGAAAATCCTCCATGGTGCTTATTCCGAGCATTTCAACTAATTTCACAACCAAAACCCTTTTCCATAACGTATTTATCATCGTTCTAGAACTTGTATGATTTCTGTTGGTTTGTCGTGGATTTTGGCTGATTCATAATTTTGATCCTTCTCTTTTATGTTGTATGATGATGTTGATAATAGCGCGCTGTTTTTCGACTGCAGTTTTGTGCTAATGAAATCAGACGTAGGCCATAGGACGACCACCTAACCTTAGAATGACTGAAGGAAACGTATTTCGTTTCATTCGACTCTTGAAGACAGAGTTCAGACCCCATCTTGTTGGGAAGATTATCAATGATTCTTGAGTACTTACTTAACTGTTGTGCTTGGTTAATTATTCTTGATATGTAGTGCGTATTTCGTACCTGGAGAGTTTCTGGACTGTATTTCCGGTGTAGCGGCATATAATTCCTCAAAATTTTTGACCACAGCACTCATCACTCTGAACATTGGATGCTGACCCTCACTGTTTAAGTCGACTTGCCCATCAGCTAGTAATGCTCGTCGGGGGAGGCGATGGTTAGGCATGCGCAGCACTTGACCTAGCCATCTCAGTCTATGTAACTTTATAGCTTCGTCGATTGATTTTTCCTCTCTGCCCAACACTCTACACCTAACGTCAGCATTACTTACCTTATTAAACCACCTAACGTGAGACAGAGATCGCAGACATCTATGATCGAAAGCAGTCAACCTTTTCATGTCTTCAACGCGTATTGGCCATGTTTCAGAGCCATCGAGAAGGACGGAGCGAACTGCAGCTGAGTAGTACACACATCCCTTGGTTGATAGCCGGATGTCACGCCTACGCCAGAGATGGTGTAAGTCAGCGAAAGCAGCTCGAGCTTTTCGCATCCGTGCTGAGATTTCATCGCCAATCAGTCCGTTGGTGCTAATACAACTTCCCAAATAAGTGAAGTGGTCAACATGTTCTATCACTTCACTCCCTATCACTAAGTTAGGGGTTGACGTGGTCCAGTCCAGTAGCAGCATCTTACATTTGACAGCAGGGGCGAATCGCATGCCAAACATACGAAGATTGCTGATCAAGGTGTTCAGAAGACTCTGCATTTTGTCAGCATCCTCCCCTATTAGGACTATGTCATCTGCATATTCTAAGTCCATAAGACTATTCCCTGGTAACAAGTCGATTCCTAAGTCATTACTTTCAGTTAAGGATACTTCCATCAGGATATCTATGATGAAGTTAAACAGAAATGGGGAAGTGGACATCCCTGTCAGACACCACTGGTTGTAACCAATTCAGATGACAATTCCCCAAAAGCCCTTACACGACTACGTGAGTTTGAATAGTGCCTTGATTAGTGCAATGTACTTTCTTGGCACTCCCTTCACAGTCAGACATTGCCATAGTACCTTTCGATCCACGGAGTCGAAGGCCGCCTTCAAGTCAAGAAATATGACAATTGTTGGACGCCGAAAAGTGTCTATGTTCTAGAATCTGTCAAAGAGTGAAGATATGATCTATGCACCCTCTACCTGGTCTAAAGCCTGCTTGATTTTCCCTTGTCTGTTCCTCCCGAGTTCTGCTTAGTCTATGCATGATTATTGAGCCTAGGATTTTAGAGACTATGTTCGTTAGGCTGATCCCCCTATGATTATCACACGAGGACTTGTTTCCCTTCTTGAATATCGGTATAATAAGTGACTTACCCCAGTCTGATGGCACTGTCTCTGATTCCCAGACTTTGCCTAGGACCTCAGTTAATCTACAAACTAGTATGTCACCCCCATATTTAAACACCTCCGGAATAATTCCGTCGGGTCCTGTCGCTTTGCCTCGTTTCAAATTACTGATAGCTTTTGTGACCTCACTTACAGACGGCGGACCAGTGTCTATATCCCATTCGGATGTGTGCTGGATGTCGGGGAGGTTCAGTGTGGCTGTAGGCAAGTTAAATTGTCCCTCAAAGTGTTCTTTCCAGCGCTCAAGGCGTCTATCCTGAGAGCTAATTAAGGAGCCATTTTTCTCAGAAATAGTCTCACTTATGATTTGCCTTCTCCCACCCGTTTCCCTGATGAGTCTAAAGAGTTGCCTGGTGTTTCCTATCGCCGATGCTTTTTCCATCTCTTTTGCCTTAGTCAGCCACCACTGTTCTCGGTCCTTGCGGAGACTTTTAGTAAGTTTCCTTTTGTGCAGCTTTCGCTCCTCTTTGAATTCGGAGCTCGCCGGAATAAGTCTTCTAGCATCTATCAGTTCGGATGAGGCAGTTGAAATCCAGTGGTTTTTACTCGCCTTTGGGTTTACCTTGTTCACAGCTTTTACCGCTGTATCTATAGCTGACTGAATATTCTTCCAGGCTTCTTCAGGGTGAGCACAGCTGTCGAACTCGGATAGGCGTTTAGCTAGTTCTTCCTCAAATACGGATTTAGTTTCCTGATCGAGGTGGGGACGTGATGGTTTTACCGCCAGCTGTTTCCTACATCCGTTTAGTCGTAAGCACACGCGAGCCCGGACCAGTGCGTGATCGGTGTCTACACACGTGTTCCAGAAGGAGCGACAATCTCCTACTGATCCACGCCAACGATAGCTTATTGCTATGTGGTCTATTTGTGTCCAGCGTTGGTTTGATGATGGGGGTCGCCAGGTTAAACAGTGTCTCTCCTTGTGTTTAAAGTTAGTACTTACGAGAAACAAATGATTATCTGAACAGAACTGTAGGAGACGGTCACCGTTGTCGGTTCGCTGGCACGGGACTCCATAGGTGCCACCGATAACCTTCTCAGATTGACACAATTTCCCTACTTGATCATTAAAGTCACCAGCTAGAACGACTATATCTGAGCGTTTAGCCTTTCTCACCAAACTAGACAGCTTTTGGTAGAACTCATCCTTCGTTTCATCTGAACTGCAGTCAGTTGGGGCGTAGGCGGAGATTACGAAAAGGCATCGGCGAGTAGTGCAGTCCTTTCTCCTTCTTACTGATCCGTTTGGACGGACAGCACATATTCGGCTATCTACTGGGATCCAGTCAAGTAATGTCTTTTCTGCCCTAGTACTCAAGGCTATCCCTACGCCAGCTAATCCTCGTGAACTGGCTGTGGCATCTCCTGACACCCTCAAGGTGAATTTTGAAGATTCATCCTGTTGGTCAGGTGGGGTTAGGTGAATAACCACACTTGGGTCTTGTATGCGTGTTTCTGAAACACAACATACATCAATGGCTCGGGATGCCAGGGTCTTAGCTAGTGATGCTTGTTGTCCTATTTGGCAAAGTGTCCTAACATTAAATGCTCCTATATGAAATTGGTGGCGTGGCTTTAGGAGACTATCGGTGGTTTTTTGGCTTCCGTCGTTTTTAGTGGACACAGAGTGAAGAGGGAGTAAGGAGCCATCAAGTAGAGTTACATCAGTGGGAGGAAGGCAAGGTAATAAAGATGAAGATGAAGACAAAGATAATTGAGGATTAGAGAGGTTTTGTGTGTAAGATATTCTCTAAGCATTTGGGGCATACCGAGACTTACAGTCACCCTTAAAATTGTTTGATGTAGGGCGCTGTCGAAAGCTTTTGAAATGTCAAGAATAGCTAATTCGCGACTTGTGTAATTGGAGTGCGCTTCTCTCAAGATGGTGGGAAGAAGATTGGTCGCTTCGAAGCAGCGATCACGTTGCAGGAAGGCAAGTTGTAGTTTTTCCATTGGGAATGATCTGGAATGACCAACACCTGATGGTAATCTTGTGCAGACAGCGCGTAACAACATAAGTTATGGAGACAGGCCGGAAGTCGGTAGGGTTATCGGGGTGTGATGTCTTGGTAATGAAGGTGACCCTGGAAGCTGACAGAGGTGAAGGTAGAAAAGACGTCAGCAAAAGAGTGTTTAGGTACCCAGCCAGACTAGTGTGGTTGATTTTCTTGAGGGTTGTTTGAGGTTGAGCTTGAACCATGGCACAGGCCATGGATTGTGATGAGGGTTGGCTTGGCATAGTTGACATGACTGGAGAATGCGGTATCGCAGTCTCGAGTGTGGAGGACAACCAACGATGAACTGTTAATTGTTCCACTGACCGTTCATAGGCCCTCACCTGTGGCTTGACGAATGGTTAAACCAAAATAAACAAACAAACAAAAATTAACAATAAAAAAATTTAAAAAACGAAAATAGGTACTATTATAAAAGATCCCACGTAATCACTATGGGATTGAAGCAGGAAAGAAGACCGTAAATGAATGAGTGGGAGGACGTGATATGAGAGTCCACTTTCTTAAACAATACGGTGACTGTAAATCAGTAGAGCGTGAAGAGAGGTTCGAGATATACCAATAACAGAAAAAAGTGATGAAATGTGGTGGTTACGGCAATGCAAACTAAGCATCTAAATCGTGTTCGGGGGTGACGTAATGATTTTTTGATTTGATTTTTGATTTACAGCTTGATTCCACACTGTATTTTTGGTACAAGTATGGAATTTTCAGCATGGATATCGGTAGCCCAAAATTCGCAGGCCGACCATAGACATCAGGTGTGCGCCGGCGTGGGCTCGAACCCCGGACCATGTGCACGGTCGGCGAGAGTCCTAACCACTGTGCCACCGCCGCACGTAATGGGGAGTGGTCGCATCCCGGAGACTAAGACTATGGAAGATGATATGACGATACGGCCTCCAGTCGATAGAACTCGAAGAGAGCAGCAGAATGAGTATTGACACGGGATGAAAGTAAAAGGCTGTGGAATTCAAAGGGGTTTAAATTTGATAAATTGGGCGGGAGGATTACGTAATGGGAAAGTTGATGAGTTACAGAACTAGAGAAACCACAGGAGATGGACTGTCGATATGGGTATCAATCGACAGGTCTCGACGAGAGTACAAAGATACCAAGCTCAATGTCAATCTGAAATAATAAATCATGAGGATAAAATAGGATATGCAAGAAAAAGCCACTCCTATTAATATATGTGTATATATGGACAAGAAGACTGAATAAATTTGAAATACTCGGGGTGAGATTAGGAGGGAAAATGGGAAAAGCTCTTTTGCAGGGAAGGCGAAAGGTGATTACAGGATATTAAGTGGCCTCGGTCTTACCAGTTAGACCAAGGGAAATTTAAAATAAAGACTGGTAGTATCACTGTCACTAGATCGGAAAATCCCTTATTGAGTACAAGGTATGTTTTCGGCAGAAACAGCTGAAAGCACCAAAAACAAAATGGTGTGAAAGAGAAATGAACAAACAATGGGTATATAGGTATCAGAAGATTCCGCTCGGCGAGCTGCAACTAAGAATTACAATTTCAGAAAGTCAGAATGAGATGCAAAAGAAATAATAGGTGAAAATAGTGGGAATTCACTGTTTTTCAGTCAGATACTGGAAGTTAGCAAGCAAATATCGTAAGTTGAGGCAATTCCTTGGTAAAAAGTAAGTGGAAAGAACGTGTTTGGGGACTGGTAACACCGTGCTAAAAATAATTGAGAAAAAGCTTATATTTCAGCAGAATATAACGAAAAAGTAAATTTCGAATTCAGGGGGTTTACGGCAGATTCGGACTATCATTCAACTGAGACGACTGGAGATGAAAACGCCAGTTTTCCCTCATAACTAACACTAAGTAAATGAAAACAAACTACTAAGAACAAAAACGACAGCCATTAACCGACAATAATCCTCCTATTGGTATAATAAAGATGCCTAAAATGGGGCTACTTGAGTCAAGGGTGGAGTTTGTCGAAAAACCAGAATAACCAGTAAATATCATATACTACGTAAAAACTAGAAAAATTGCACAGACTCACCGAATTGAACCCGATACATCCCATAAAATATACATTGGAAACCAGTAGGGGACTGTCTAGAGAGAGCATATTAACATAAATATCCGAATAAAACTCCAAGTCACCGAGATGATAGTGCGTCGGTGGTAAAATGGTTATGACTTTCGCTGATCATGCACATGGTCCGGGGTCTAATCCCCTGTCGACGCCCACCTGATATCCATGGTCGGCCTGCAAAATTTGAACTACCGAAATCACATGCTGAAAATTCCATACCTACACCCAAAATACAGTGTGGAATCAAGTTGTAATCAAAAAATATACATTATCAAAGATGCAGTAATGAGTTCCCAGTCGGTTACTTTTTTTGTGGACCTGGGATATGTGGGTAAAAACGTGGGCAGTTTTCCGTTCATATGTGGGCAAAGTGGGATAAGGTGGGCTGTTTTCGTTTGTAACATGGGCAAAGTGGGAATAAGTGGGCTGTTTTCTAAAATGACATGGGCAAACGAGGAAAAAGTGGGTATATTTCGAATTCCTGCACATGGGATAAGTGGGTGAAAACGTGGGTTACGTGGGAAAACTGAGAAAAGCTGGGACAAACAAATTTTATCCGTACATGGGAAAACGGGGAAAAAGTGGCCAATGTGGTCAAAGTGGGTAAAATCGGTTGCATTTACACCATCTTTTGCCCACGTGTTTGCCGATCAAAATAACCCTTTTATCCCACGTTTTGCCCACTTTGCCCATGTGCATTAACCGACTGGGTTATATTAATTAAAAGGTCACTTGGATACACTTGAAGTCCACTGCTACAAACTATTTAGAAAATCCACAGAAGCGTTGATTGTTGGAATCGTGTCTACCGAAAGAAGCTGTTTCGGTTGTAGAATAGTCTTCAGATAAGGATAAAAGTTTTCTGCATAATCCGAAGCATATAACACGGTATGAGTGGAGCAAGTAGACAGTAACGGCCAGAGAGAAATCGAAGCCCAGATAGAGGATAGCCCAACAGCAATGTATTTCGAATTGTACTCGTAAAATATATAGATTTAAACATGAACCGTTTTAAACAAAAATCATGTACAATGTCTCTAATTTCAACATCTAACAAAAAGTGCCCAATCATATTACGTACTCCACAAACCTGCAGAGGGCAGGGTCAGTAAAAACAGAGTTTACATAATAATTCCAAAGCGTAAATGTATCTTTAATATATTTCTATGTGCTGAATGTGAAAATTCAAGTTTCCGGCAGATATTGTCTGTAAATAGCTTGTTTACAGTATGAAGAGTTCGAATGCAAATGTACCACAAGTAATAGCCTTGCGTTCCGATTTGGCTGAGAAATATGCCTCGTAATTTGGACGATCAATTCTGGTGTTTCGCTTTGCCTTTGGTCTACAAGGAATGAATTCTGTAGAAGTTGTGGGTATTAGATCTTCCGTTAGTATACTTCGTACTATCTGTGAACTTCGTGACGTTTAGGGGCTGAAAATTCAGATTCAGATTATAAGGATAGAAGGCTCTTGTTGCCTATGTTAATCTTCGCGATATATATACCTCTGTAGAGATCCAGCTTCTCTTTGAAAGCGTTCACCGATGGAGCTGTTACTACTGAATCAAGTAAGGAGTTCCAGTCGTTGACCACTCTGTGAGAGAATCTAATTACTGCACGTATTTTAGTCATCCTCAGTTTGAGCATTTTCTTGTGGCAACCTCGTAAATGTATCCTAGAGGGAGAGAAAAGGTTTGAAAGGTCAATCCCTAAATCACCCTTGAATATACGGTAAGCCGAAATTAAGTCGCCTCTCCTCCTTTGGCATGATAATGGGAGGAGATTTAAATGCTCCATCCTCATATCATAAGGAAGGTGTGAGATACCACTAAATAATTTGGTTCCTACCCTCTGTCCTTTTTCCAGGATATGTACCTCCTTTTTGAAGCATGGACTCGCCGCTTGTATGCGGTACTCTAGGTGGGGTCTGACATATATTGTATAGAGTACTTGAAACATACCCTCGTCTAATCGTTTAAAATCCCTTTGAAGTGCCCATAGAATTCGAAAAGCCCTAGCTGTGGCTCGATTACAATTTGCCGCTGTTTTTAAGTCATGGCTTACAATAATTCCTAAGTCCTTTTGTCTCCTAACATCTGGCAGTTCTGTGTCCCCCATGGAGTACGACGTGTAAGACTTCTGACCTAGGTGCATTACCACGCTTTTCTTGGAACCAATTTCCAGACTCCAAAGGTCAGCCCATTCGGCTAATTTATCTAGATCGTTTTGTAGTACCAAGCTATCATCGTTACTATTTACAGTTTTCCATATCTTAATATCGTTTGAAAATAGTAAGGAAGATAAGGTAAGAATTTTCGGCACTTCATTTACGTATAATAGGAATAGCAGGGGGTCAAGTACAGTTCCCTGGGGTACTCCACTTGTTACTGCTTTCCACCCTGACAGTACACCATTAACCCTTACCTTCTGCCTCCTATCCATCAAGTAGTCACTGAACCACTCACATAAGCTTTGATCTAATCCAAAATGTTTAAGTTTGCTAAGCAGATCTAAATGTGATACCTAATCGAATGCTTAACTAAGATCGATAAATACAGAGTCCAGTAGATGGTCTTTATCCCTGGCCTCGACCCAATCTTCCCTAGCTAACAGCAAGTTTTTCAAGCAGGATCGTCCTGTTCGGAATCCATGCTGTTCCACTGCCAGTAAGCAATGTTTTTCCGTATGAGCTAAGAGCTGATTCCTTATTCGTTTTTCTAACGCGTTTGCTACAATGCAGGTCAGACTTACAGGCCGATAGTTAGATACTAACTGCCTGTTCCCATCTTTGAACACGGGGCTTATAAAAGCATCTTTCCAGTCCCTGGTTAGCCTAGCCTGAGTCAGAGACATCTGAAAAATCTCCGTTAGTGGAATGTATATTATATCCCCAAGGTGATTAGCAGTCTGGGGTGTAGTCCGTCTGGTTCAGGTTATTTACCTGGCCTCAACTTAGACAGTAGTGTCAGAACCACTGCGTCATCTACCACAATTGGGGGCATTTCAGGAGCTACATCAGTTACCTCGCTACACCCCGGGGTGGTAGGATTAGGCGAGAAAACATCACAAAAGTATTCGGAGAGCTTCTCAGCTTTTGTTTCATCTGACTAGGCAGCCTCTCCTGTGTCGCTAATGAGGGACTGTATACCGCTGCCAG